TGTGTGTGTGTGTGTGTGTGTGTGTGTGTGTGTGTGTGTGTGTGTGTGTGTGTGCGTGTCTGTGTGTGTGTGTGGGTTTACTCCTGTGTAAGTATGCTGTCTCACATGCTTGTGAGCATTACCTGCATGTACCCGTAGATATGTGTGTGTGAGAGAGAGAAAGAGAGCATGCCTCAGGGGTAAGCTGAGCCTCGGCGGGGTGAATGGCTCCAGTGTAGGACGACTTTGTCACAACCCCAGCCTGCTGCTCTTTGAATAAAGCAGGTCAAACAATGCTGACTCCTCCACTGTAAGCCAGCCTACAGTCAACCTGTTCATTTTTCACCCAACAATAGACCAGGTCTTAAGTTACGACATGCTAAAGCTGCCTCAAAGAACTCTTGAAGTCCATAACTCTCCATGGCCATTTTTTTATTCTATGTTATTTAATGTGCTTTGACACTTTTTTCTCTGTAGGTCACAACCAAGTCACAGAGTTGGTGGTATGAGTGACAGAAGTGGAAGGGAAAAGCCATCAAAAAGCACTGTAACATTTAATGCCGCTATGGGCAATTATTCCTTTATCAGTCTTAATTTTCTTATTCCTCAGTGTGTCTGTATCTCAAGTAACAAGAGCAACAAAAACATAATGCAATGCAACACTTTAGCAAGGCCCAGCGTTCATCACCTAATTGATCCACCTCAACCTTGGATTCAAGAAAAACAGGTTGTGTCCTGGTTGTGAAGCAGTGAATCAGCCAACGTAGAAACGGTTGCCACAAAATGTGGTGCTTGTGTTGCTCCAAGTCATCCAGCCATTGTACACCTGCCTCTGCAATAAATCAAAAATATTCTCAGTAGGCTTTTGGATCCGCCAAGGCTGTTCCTTGTCTCGTATTCTGTTTAAAAATTTCTCAAAAGCAATTCTAAGTCACAGCCAAGCAGTTGAGAATGTCCAGTTTGGTGATATCATGGCTGAATTGTGGTTTGCTAATGATGTAGTTGTGTTGGTTCCAGCCGGCATTACTTCAGCATGCTTTGGGACAGTTTGTAGCCATCTGTTAGGATCATTGTCCACATTTCAAAATTTTAGGCCAGAAAAAAAAGGCAAATTAGGTTAACACTAAGTTAAAAGGAAGATGTTGTCTCAAGGTACAGGGTAAGGACTCTCTGGACTTGCTTGTAAGTGAAGGTATACTGGACCATGAGATGGACAGGCAGATTGATGTCTTGTCTGCTGTGATGTGGATTTAGTGTTGTTCTCCAAAGGTGAAAATGGACCTGGGCCTCAAAGCTAGACTCTCCATTTACCCATCAATTTACATTCCAAGACTTCCCTATGATCATGAGCTTTGAGCTGATATCTTAAAAATTCCAAAGCAGCTTGCAGTGGGTATACAGCTCCTTTACATTAATACGAGCCAGTTGAGATCGTTCAGGTATTTGATCATGATGCTCCCTGTGGGCCTCCAGCTGGAGGTTACCAAAACACTCTGCAGGAATTAAATAAACTGATCAGCCACAACATTATTACCGCTCGCTTTATATGTAGTATGCAGGTCCCCCTTGTACTGGCCAATCAGCAATGAATGTTTGGGGCATGTACACAGGACCTTTGGTAGTCATTAGACAGCAGATCCTCTGGGTCCTGTGAAATGTGGGGTGGGGCTTCTCTGGATGGCGTCTGCATTCCATGTCTGTGAAGATTCTCAGTCATCCAGGTCATGGTTATTCTCGTGGATTAATCGTAGCGACTGGACTTGCTTGAGTTCCTTGAAGACGTTCCACCTCTCATCCAAGAGGCTTCATCAGGTCTGACTGACTGGTTGGGAGTTCCAGATACTTGTATCCTTAAGGATCCATTAACACCTATGTTTCAGTTTCAAGTGGGGGTTTGTTGCTCCTCCCCCTCGTTATGTGAGTCGTTAGTGCTCCCCCTGCTAACAATGGATTCAATTCCATGGATGCAATGGCATGTAGAGAGTTTTAAAGTCATGTCAACATCTTGGACTCATTGCTGTGTTCCTTGAGCCCTTCCTGAGCAGTCTTTATGGTGTGGCGTGGTGTATTGTGGGGCTCAACTGGAGACTTAATTCTTAATAAATATATTAATTAATTTCTGTATCAGTTCATGAATCTATATGTAAATGTATTTTTGCATCTCATGGTGTGGTGCTCATTATTTCAGTAAAAACTAAATAAAAACCTCTCTTTCTTTGTAGAGGAGTTCATTATGGCAGCTCAGAGGTTTGGCCAGGTGACGCCCATGGAAGTCGACATCCTCTTTCAACTGGCTGACCTGTCAGAGCCTCGTGGGTAAGACAGACAAAAAGATATGCACACATGGGGATACATAAACAGCAAGGCAAATGATTGTATACATAAACAAGCAGCTGAGTTATCGGGATAGAGGACCATGGAAGTTTTTATTTATTTATGGTATGCAATCTGTGAGGAAATCAGTATTGTGGATATGATTGCCAAGCAGGTAGAGGGATTCATTGCAAGTATTTTGTGAATTGTAGCTGCGTTGTAGCAGAGCAGTAGTGAAATGGTATCTCACAATTACAAGACTATTCCAAACTTGCCCCCCCAAAGCGCAGGTTTAGCCCCAGGGTCCATATCTCAGAGAGACGAGCACTTTCTCAAACTTCTCCGCAATGGATCAAAAGAATCTGACATGTATCCAGTGCCAGAGAATCTTCTTTCAGTCTAAACCCAATCCAAACTTCCATTTATCATAAAAAAGGGGCAATTCCAGTCGCTGTAATCCGTGGCACAAAACAACTGTATATGTCTCACATTCCCCCACTTCCTTTGCGTCTGCCTCGCGGCCCGACCAGTGTGTTCATAATTTCTAACCCCGGCCTGAGACACCACTTGATTATTATTTCTGGGCAATGGGATACTTTAATAGCTCTCTCCACTCCCCTTGATTGGAGATGTGAGAGATAATAGCCCCAATATTCAGAGGAGAGGGGTGGAGGGTGGGGGAGGATTTGGCGTTCCCAGTTCCCTGAGCCTGGGAATTTTGGGACCGTCACAGAGATGCAGTGGAAAGACCTCCAAAGATTAAATTATCTGTGTTGTACTTGGATGAAGTGATAAAGGAATATGAGCTGTCAGTTCCTATAGATCGGTTGTCTAACTCAGCCATGCCAAGCGCAGGTCTGGATTCGTGAATGCCACAATATTTTCACATGGAACGATGGCAAAGTATCCACAAACTTTGGGTAACTTCAGACTGACAGATTGAGCTTGCAAAGGTCACGGTCTTGGTAGTACATGAATGAAATTATAATCCTCTGAGAGTTACTTGAAACTTCTCACTCTCTCCTGTCTGTTTCTCTTTACCAGACGTGTTGGTTTAGTGGACATTGAGAAGATTGCTCCGCTGGAAGAAGGCGCCTTGCCCTACAACTTGGCTGAGATTCAGAGACAGGTACAGCATATGAAAACTTGTTGATGTGTTTGGTTTCCTCTTCCACATTGGCAGCTCTTTTCCTTCTCGATACGTTCTCTTGGGCTAAATGTCACCGCACTGATGATTAAGATTTATAATTACGGATAATGATATCTCCTGTTCGCATGTAATTAATCCCCCAAAACAAAACATCAGCTTGACTTGTGATTTTGGCATGAATTACACAATTAATGCACAGGCACTGGTTCAAAGTCATATCAAAGTGAAATAAAGAAATACAGGAGACACCGATCCCAACACTCAAAATGCCAGTCAGCCAGTACCCATCAGACCAGCTCATTTTCAAAAGTTCATACCAAGGTTCAGACCAAGTTGTGTTCAACAAGTTCCCATCATAGACTTGAAGCTAAAAAGACTCAGAGAAAACACCACTAGACCTCTCCCTGACATGTGGTCGACGTCTTAAAAAAACATACACACACAACTCACAAATCCATGGAAATAAAGATGGGCAGAGCCATCCTCAAGACCCGATGAAATTCAGACATGCTTCAAGTTGCAAGTAATAGCCAGCTAACAAGAGCAATTTGTAACAAAGGAAAGTAAGAAGGACGTATGGACAGCCAGACAGATGAGCAGAGGACTATTTTCTTACTCCGGCTGTTTGGTCAGAGTTGTGTTGCCTGGTGGGTTCCAGCGCTACGCTGAAGGCTTGGCCAGGCCATATTGGAGCAGGCTGGGGCCAAAGGGGAGAAAGCAAAGGGGCCCAGCACTACACAGACGCCAGTCCCACCACAATGAGCCACTTTAGGCCCTTGTGGTTTGGGCTCAGGGGCTGGCCGCCAGCTAGCTGGAGCTCTCTCTCCTCATCTTTTGCTACTTCTCTCCATTTCTTTTTTGATCTACTTCTCTCTCTCTCTCTCTCTCCCTCTCTCCCTCTCCCATATGCGTGTTTGTCAGTTTGCCTTTTCTCTCTTTATATCCTGTTAACTTGTTCCCTCTTTCTCCCTCAAACATCCCATCAGTATTGCCAAGTAAAATCTGTCTCCAGGCAGACATAGATGAGGAGGATGAAGTGGAGGAGGTTGTGTGAAGGAAGTGGGGTTATACTTTGACAGGTGGACCTATTTTAGAGATTCCCATCCCCCTTCTTACACACACACACACAAACAACCCCCTCCCCTACCTTGAGACCAGGGCTGGGGAGACCGATCAAAGCAACAGGTAGCGCAGGTGGATGGGGGAGTGTGGCTGTTCCTGTGTCGCTCATATGGGCAACTAACACGAAACTTTTGCAAAATGCAGTGATTATGATCACAAGGGTGTATTCTGCAGCGTAGAGCAGATTTATGTTGCACAGATAAATTCCTGTGAGACTAATGTTAATCCAGCTGAGCTATGTACAATTTTAAGTAGATATGTCAACAGATAGTATTTGCAGCTTTATATGTATGCTCAACTTTTAAGTGGAGATAGACTTTATGTGTGTGCATCAGAAATAGATATGTGTTGATTAAATGTTAAATCAAAGAGTTAACTTGCATGCTAAATCACGTACATTCATTTCCTTGAATTTCCAGAAACCACACATATTTTGCAGTAAAAAAAAGACATAATTAGCTGAAGCTTGTAGTTTGAACATTTACCAATTCTGACACTTTACGCTGCTACTGCACCACCTGATCACTTGAGTTGTTTTTTTTTTTGTTGCTTTTATTAGCTATTTTTAGTGCTGAAAATGTTGCTCAGCTAAACAATTCATTAATTGGCCCAAAATGTAAACTTGTCGTTTTAAAAAAAAATAAAAATTCAAAACTTTTTCTGGTTACAGTTTCCCAATACAGAGTTTTTTTTTGTGTTTCTGTATTACTCTGTATCTGTATTTATTTCTTTAGGTTTTTGAGTATTAGTTGGACAAAACAAGCATTGTGAAGATGTTGTCTTGTGCCATGAGCATGACCATTTTCCAACATTGCCCTAAACAACAAATCAGTTGACCTGAAAAATATGGAGTTAATTGTTATAACGAGACTGAATGTCTTGACTGTGTTCTAAAACATTTGAGTAAATCAGTGAGTTAAACTTGTGTTTAGTTGTGCAGAGAAAAACATGTCTTCAACCAGCTTCACGTTTAAATTTCTCATGAGCAAAATGTATTTGAATTACATTTATACTCTAAGACCAATGTCCCTCATGAAATTGGGACTTCATGTGAAATCCTACACAGGAAGTGAACAAACAAGCGATTTACTGGCCTCTAAATTTTCTTCCTGGGAGGTGGAATTAAATATGTGGCATGTCACTCTGTAGTGAAAGCAATAGCTTGTCTAACGTCAAGTCCCTCTTTAGCTGTTCATTTCTTCCACTTCTGTACTAACATCTTTATTGTCTCTTTTCCTGTGTGCGAGCAGCAGTTGGGCAGTGACGGCTCCCGCCCCATCCTTGTCCAGGTGGCAGAGTCGGTCTACAGATTCAGTCTTGGCTCAGTAGCAGGGGGTAAGAGTCACGCCCCATTGGCTCCCTGCATACCTTCACCCCACCACCCACCCTCCTACCCACCTACCTGCTCGCCTGCCTACCTGCCCCCCGCCCTGTGCTGTCCTCATAAGAAAAGGGTGAGAGAGAGAGGACAATGGCCCCTCTATTGCCCTCTCTCTTCTTTACAAGAGCAACGGTCACTCTCCTGCTTAAAGAGAAGTGTTCCCTCTCTTTCTTGTTCTCGCTCAATCTCTCTCTCTATCTTTTCCGCTCTCTCTGCCATCCTTCGTTCTGCCCCGTCTCATGCCTCTCTGCGTGGCATGGGAAAACCCTCCTGTGTGTCCTTTTGTACCTGTGTGAGTGATCAGAAGACAGACGATGAGGTTGGAGGGGGGGTGAAGGATAGTGCCTAGGCCTTGTGTTTGGCTCCAGACACCCCACTGTTTTTCTGCTCCTCCTTCCTTCCTTCATTCCTCCCTTCTCCTCCTCCTCCTTCTATCCCAAAGGAGACAGCTTAATAAGGAGGTATGGGTCTGCCATCCCTTCTTCTTTCTCGGTCTCTCTCTAATTAAGTCTGTCGCCTTGGGTCGGATCTTTTTGTTTGTGTCCGCGTGACAGGCCGAAGACACTGCAACTCAAAACACTTCAGCATCTTTCTTAACATTATTCCTGCACACTTCCCCTTCCTCCTTCTGCTCCTCGTCCTCTGCTTCATCTTCCTCTTCCTAATGGGTCACGTCACCCAAGTTACTAAAACAATTTTTCTCACCTATCTTTAGTGGCATCTAGCAACTGCAGGTAGTTTCATCAAAGCAATCAAAGTGAAAGGAATTCGATTTGGAGCACTCATTGCACTGTAAAACATTTTTGTATGACCTCCTAACGACATAAACTTTTTGCGAATTGCCCGGTTCAACCTGACGAATGCCACCCGAGTGTGTGCATGCACGTGAAATTTGATTAACTGCTTTATAATACTGACCGCTCCATTTGTGGACATGTTTCAGTTTTGGCATCACGTCACAGCGCATTAAAATTCTTAAGTCAAGCAAGTGTTTCATATCTGTGTACAAGTCTTAGGATAGGCCTCGATCATTCATGAATTTTGTTTGTGCCTTTTGAGTACAAGAAAATTGTCAAATGTGACAATTTCTCTTAAATTACTTCGTTGTGCCACTTAAGAACACATCTATTTGTACAAGTGATTCTTGCGTGAGGCTCAGCATCTCCTTTATCCTGATTACTTTACAGAATATGCCTTCAACAGCTGTCACGGGTCTTTCTGCTCAGTTACTGCTGTAGGTCCTATGAAAGCAGTTGTATGTTTGTGTTGGTGAACAAACCATTGAATCTACATTTTTAGTTGCATTTCTCACAAATCAGTTTGTATGAACATATTTTCTAAAGAGAAGGTAGTCCAACTCTTCCATGTTTGTAATCCTTTTTCCATATTTTTTGAGAAACAGAAAGAAGGAAAAATCATATTCATAAGGCAAAGGAGGGGGACAATGGTGGCATGGTTATTAAACGTCAATAAATACTGTAATAAAAATGAACACAAATATACCGTCATAACTTGTGACCAGTATCTAAATACATGTTTTACTCTCTGTAGCTGTGGGTGCCACTGCTGTGTATCCCATTGATCTGGTGAAGACACGCATGCAGAACCAGAGGAGCAGCGGATCCCTGGTGGGAGAGCTCATGTACAAGAGCAGCTTTGACTGCTTCAAGAAGGTGGTGCGCTACGAGGGCTTCTTCGGCCTTTACCGAGGTGGGTTTGCTTGAACAGAAAATTTAAACCTCTATGCATATTTGGCAAATATTCACATAAAGCTATGTGTAATATGGCATGGTTACAAACTCGCCACGCAGCATTTTGTGGCTACTGTAGTGTAGCATATTTCTTATCTTCTGTATAATGTATTACTGGTACTTTCCAGATCATTTTTCTCAGCCTGTATAACACACTGTATGTGGGTTTAACATACACTACATGATAATAAGTCACATTTCAAATAAATTGAATCCATCCCCACAATTGTGTTTGCAAACAACTTTCAGGGAAAAACAACTCACACACAGTCAAATCTAGGTTTTCAAGAAAAAGGCGCCAAGATGAGAGAGAAGAAAGAAGAATGAAGTGGTAGGGACAATAAAAGAGAAGGGAAGCGAGAGGAGACGAGAGGAGAAGAAAAGTGTAGGGTGGACAGGAGGGCGGTGCGGGTTCACCTCTCTGTTGACCTGTCTTCTTTGAAGTGATTACCGGCTGGCTGGGGACTTTCAGAGCAGGACAATGAACGTCACACGCAAGGCCACATACCTTTAGGCCTGTGTCACGATGTAGTGATGTCGCACGTCTAGACCTACACACTCATACAAACACATTATAGACACTGAGCAGACACACAAGAATGTAGGCATGCAGTGGACTACTTGGCCATGCAGGTACGTACATACCAGGGCAAGACATCAATAATGACTACCTGTCCTGTCCTCAGAAACTGCGGTTAGTGTGTCTGTGTCTGTATTGTTGGGGTCAGATTAAAGAAGGATTGAAAAGAGGTCCCCTGGAACAGCGGCAGGGCCTTTTTAAAAATCCCAGGATTTTGATTGACAGAACTGGGCTCCCAAGAGGAAACTTGAATGCTTGAATTTCTGTGGGAAACACAAAGGCTATCAAGAGTGAAGTGGCTTCAGAGACACAGAGACAGACAGGTCTGGCTCCAGGTAGATGGCCAGACAGGTATCCTGGCAGCCAAACTGTAGTTATGTAATATAAGTTGAAAGTGCCTTCACTGTTGGAAAAATCTGCTGTGGGAAGAATGCGGAATTAGTGGTGCAAAATTGCTTTTGTTGTGGGATGCCGAGATCTGTCATAAACCAAACAGCACAAGAAAAAAACAGGAGCATCTTTTTCTTGTGTGGATGCTTTTGACAAAATGAATTTGGAGTATTTTCCTGTGTCCTTTTGTGTGTGTTCACATTTATCCTTTGTTGATGAAAGCATGTACGCTTTTGGGGAAAAAAAAGAAGAAAACTCTTCAAAAATGATTATTTTTTGCCTTTTTTATGAAGTCCAGGGAGGTCCTTTTGCCAAGTTCCAAATGGAGTATATGATTGTGTGCGATTGTGTGGCCTCACTACACACAGACTGCAGTGGATTATTAACTGTGTTTGTTGCTTTGAAGAAGTCATTGAGTGTGTGTTTCTTGCTTTGGGGCTGGGTAGGGGGCCAAGTTTCATTGTGCTCTGTTGTGATTATTTTGTTTATTTTTATCCGTCTCTGGGTTGTAATTGAGGTCTGCGTAAACTTTTGGTTGGTTTGTTTTATACTCTGCCCTTTTTTCCTATTCTGGGAAGCAGTTTCGCTCACTTCATCCTCTCTTTACCCTTTCTTCCTCTCTCTCTTGTTGCTACTCTGATGTCCCCACACTCCACATCAATAGATTTCATTAGTGTCTGGGGGATCTTGCACGGTCGGACGCATGCAGCGGGAAGCCACACTTGATGTGGAGTGTGTGGAAGTGGTATATGTATATGTATATATGTGTGTGTGAGAGTAGGGGTACCACAGCGCTCTTTTTTTCTAATCATCTTGTCGTTTCCTAATGATAGGTCTGGTACCACAGCTACTGGGTGTGGCGCCCGAGAAAGCCATAAAGCTCACAGTAAGTCGCTGTGTTAGAAAGCGTGCAGACACACGCATGTGCATTCACATAGACAGAGATCCATACGCTTCTTCCATCACTTTGATCTTGCGGACGGATTTTGTATTATCAGATACTGCGCAACATAAAGACAGACAAATGCATAAATGCATCTGTTAACTGTCAGTCAGACATCTTGATTAAAAGCATTTACAGCATATAATATTTGTGGTGCACTCAGTGACATGCACCATCAGCATTACTGTTGTCATTGCAACATATGTTAGTCTCTAGTAGCTGATTTTTTCTGTGTTCTTGTTAATACCACAGATGTTATTTTTTATAAACTCCAGCTGCAAAGTAAATCAACAAACACATTTGTAAGAAGTAGCATTAGACTTTATGTAGCTGATTTCCAACACATTTAAGTCTTGTACACATCCATATTTTCATTTTCTGATCTACTATAGTACTTTTAAAGTCCATAACTTTTGTGTCTCCAGGTGAATGACTTTGTGCGAGGAAAGACCAGACAGAAAGATGGTACAGTCCCTCTGGCTGCTGAGATCATGGCTGGTGGATGTGTAAGTTTCACATTATCAGCTTGTGTGCAGGTTCAATGGTGAGCAGGTTTCAGTGGTGACAACCTGAACAGAATTTGGGTGTTATATTCAGGAACTTTTTACATCCTGTGGACTCAAAAGACACAACAATCTAAACTCTCAGCCAAGACCTTCTGTAACAAAATAAAAAAAAGAAAAAGCAGATATGAATAAATAAGTAATAATGAGTTATTAGATAATTCGTCGGTAGTCGGGCTCACAGCGTTACAAAACCATTTGACCTTTGGGTTTCTGTTTAATCCTTACTTTTATATCATAGACTTAAACAAATTTCTAATTTTATTCAAGTCAGTGTGCAGTGTCACATTGTTTATAATAATTCCAGCAGACCTTTTAATGTGATAAAAAGGTGTTAAATCATAATAAACAATACTGACATATTGTTGTATAACTGCATTAGATAAGCAAGTTTTTTAACTACACATTTTGGTTTGTGTATTGCGGTGTGTAACTGTACAGATGATAGGTTTATTAAAAAAATTTCTCCATAAGCCACCGTTTTCTTCGCCTAACTAACCAGACATAGACTGTGGATATAAACCTGCCATTGGTGAGGCATTACATGTGGCATTCTCCTCATCTTCTGCCATCCGTGTGCTACCAATTTCAAACCTCTCTTGACTACAGGAAACAACAACGCTTCCATGCCGCTGCCTACATGCTGACAGTTAGACGATGCACTAAGCTTGTTAGTGAATTAGCTATTTTAATGAGAGTGTTGCAGGGGCATCGCCACTTTATCTTGGGCTTTGCTCTGCCCAAAACAACTGTAAATGGTTCATATTTCCCCCTATAGCAGAATGATAGTGAGGTGCAGTCAGACTGTTCTCCATCGCTGAGGAGAACTACTATTACTACTACTATTTTTGTTTTGTTTTCACAAAAAAAAGGAAAATAGAAATAGGAAATTGATTGCATAGAATTGTAATGAAAAAAATGGATATCAGACAATGTACACTGTATGTTATTATAGTGTTTGTTTCTAATTTATAAATTCTAATGCCCCTGATGATGCATGTCCACAGGATCTGTCATATCCACACTACTCATACCATGTCTATGTAAGCAGCCGTGCAATGTTTTCTAGTTGCATTTTTAGAGACAGGGCATCATGTTGTCCACTACTCATTTACAAAAAGTTGAAGTCTTGCTTACTTTATGGAAATCACGGTGGAAACTCCTGAAAAACTTTAGTAAACTGTTTTCATATTATAAAAGAAGGCTTCCAAACTGCCATTTCGGTCTGGTTTGAAATCTTGGAACAGACAGCCCACGAATGAAAGCCATTGTCCAATAAGGTGTTTGTGTGAGGAGGGTGTAGCCTGCCTAGTTGTACACCCATCAAGCATCCAGTTCTGGGAAACCGCGTGACCCCTCGTGTCCAAGAAAGCCCTTGTACCATGACAGTGTCTAATCATATTTAGCAATCACACCTGTCCACTTAAATTAATGTTCTTCTCAGTTTCTTGGTCAGATTCCCTTGGAAAACTTCTCTCTTAATCAAATACAATCAACATTACATATTTCAGTGTACGATCCCTCTGCCTCCTTTTTCTTCATCCAGGCTCTTCAAAGTGCACTGTGTTGAAATGATGCTGTACAGTACCCCGGCAGTGTGTACAGTATTACGGCAGCATGCATCTCTTAACTGTGTTGACCTGTTTTCTGAGTGCTGCCCCTGTGACAGTTGAGCAGACAGACATGGACTTGTTTGGAGGCCAGCAGTTTCGCTGTTTGTTGATGGAACCTGTAAAGATCACACATGAAAGAGCAAAAACACACACCGTGCACGCCGGTGTGCGCACGTGTAACAAACCGAAGAGCATACAGGTGCACACACCCACACACACACAAACACTTTCAGGGAGGAGACGAAGATTGACAGCGGCTGCTACCTGAGCCCCCCTCCAGTCTGTTACCTGCTCCCCTCCCATCATAGGTTTTGATCACTGAGCTGTCACAGCCTACCCCCAATGCATGTACGCACACACACACACACACAACATACAAACACACACATACACACACACAGCGAGTCCTCCAAGGCTGGCAGCCTTAGCCTGAGCAAATGAAAGAAGGTCTTTCACTCAACCCTCTTTTGATGCTGATCACTAAAGCAAAGTATTTCAGGATACACAAGTCATTATGGGTTTAGCTCCACTCAGGCACATTCAATTGACCTTATTAGTTCTGGGAATATGTTTAAGAAATGTTTTAGCACAGTACATTTGCTGTAACTTAAATTTTGGACGGTGATTTTGTTCCGTGTAAGAGAGGAACGGAAAGAGCGCAGCGACTACGCGACGGCAAATATAGTCAAGAAATGTTCTGCACTGTCCTGGGTGTGAAAAATAGCGGTTGCCTTTTTTTTTTTTTTTTTTATACAACCCATATGGATTCAAAAGAAGAACCATAACAGACAGAGAGAGAGAGAGAGAAAGAGAGAGAGAGAGAGAGAGAGGATAAATGTAGAGGAGAGGAGTGCGGATGGATGGATTTTTCCTCTTTTCCTCCGTGAGCCGTCATGACAGCTCCTTTCATCCTGGCTGAGGCCCCGGTGTTAGTGCTGGCACTGCACTCTGCCTGCCACTTTATCTTACACACATACACGCACTCACGTCAAACCCTCCTGAACCCTGTTTTAGCGAGGCTCCAGCCACAGCACATGAAATCTGTTTATATCATTTGGTAGCTGTGAAAGTGTTGGTTTGGACCACAGTGTCAGCCTCAGATCCACAGTCTATAAAGCAAAAAAGAAAGGGGGGAAAAAAACGAGAGAAAGAAAAAGAGAACACGGAATTAGAAGTGTTATATGTTCGCTTTTAGTGAAGTAAACTTCGCATATCTCAAAGTAGCATCTTTATCTCCTCTAAAGTGCTGTTTTGCTTCACCCTTCTCTCTGCCCCTTGTGCTCTTTTCTTGCTTTTCTTATCTCTTAAATATACTCCTCCTCACCTCACCCACTCTTTCCTCTCCTCCTCCTCCTCCTCCTCCTCCTCTCGCTCCCTCCCCCCTCTTTCCCTCTCTAAACCTGTGGCTCAGCACCATTAAGCTCCAGTGTGGGTTGCCAGTTTCTAATGATTATTTGGTAAGAATGGCATGCACCGTTTACTGAGCTGGCTGGATGCTTATCTGGCAGTTGCTGGCCTGCATTTCAGGACTTAAGTTACACAAAATACTTAGTGGGTCATTGCTTGAGAGGAGGAGTGGAGTTACGACTGCGAGTCAAAGCATAGTAACACTTTGTTCAGATTCATTGTGAATGTAGTTGGTGTTTTTTTAATGGTTTTCTTTTTCAGGCCTGATGTGAGCTATGAAAACATTATCTGTGAATCTAACACACGTACATTAAGCCACAAATTAAAATGTTATTAATACTTACGGATGGTGGATGGCTAATCTCTTGTTTGACCTTAAGTCAGTGGTTGACATGCATGTATTTTCACTGGGGGGGGTGGAAACGCAGGTACCCCTAAACTTTACTAAGCTCTTTTTGCAGGACACACACATAGCCAGGGGCTGCGATGCGTGCATAAGGTGCTGACGTCCCAGGTTTCCAAGGATCACCTTGCCTTGTAATTACCTGGGAATCATCAGAGAACCGCCGACGCTGTCACTCCATAATCACAACCCTCAACCTCTCTGCCTCAATCTCGACCTTCCCTCACTTCTCTTGTTTTGACTGCTCCTCTCTCTGTTTCTTTCTCCCTCTCTCATTAGCTCCGTCTGTTTATTTCTCTGATTATCTTATATTTTCTGTTTGTCTGCTTCTCTCTCTGTCCTGCGTTGAAGTTTTTTCAAGTTATTTTCCACAGACATGTAGGAATATGGGATGGTGAAAAGCTGCAGCACTGTCGGTCTTTTTATCTCACGTTGTTAGGTCTAATTGTCAGCTCATCTCACTGAACAGTGTTGTTGTTTACTCGTCTTGGGTAAACAACATCTCCATCTCCTCCATCTCCAGTCTCATTAGAATCCAATTGATGCAGCCAACACTGCTAGGGGCTGGGGCCAATAGCCTCTTAATGCTTGCGCTATTAGCCAGCATGTAATCAACTAGGTTATTTCCATAAAACAAGTCATAAAGAGTTAGCTGTGAGATGAAGCAGCTTTGCAGCAGCAGCCCTCTTGCTATTCACAGCCTCTCGCTGGGTCTAGAAGGGAAGCTGTGGCCCACTATACTCTGTGTTGTTTAAAAAGCGACTGCACACACCTTCAATGAGACGATTATAATCTCTGTCTCTCCCTCCTCCCTCTCTTCTCTTAGGCAATATATGGTAACACTTAAAACGGAGGGACTTTTTGCAACAAAAAAAAAAGCTGCCCATGTTGCAGATTGAGGCTTGATGCCTTCCCGTAAGGCAAGAGGCTACAAGCACAATCCATCATTCATAAGGAAGCAAATGAAGGAGAGGGAGAAAGGCAGAGAAACAACAACAAACAGACCAGGCCTATTTAAGACAGCAATGGCGCCATGGCAACCGATTGCTATCTAATTGCGATGTGCCGCCCTTTTGCGTGTAGCTACTGTAACCACTGGCAACCGTAGCGAGAAACAGACGATATTAAAGAGGATGAGAGAGACGAGGTCAAAGCAAGAAACTGGGAGAGATAATGCTGGGAAGACATTCAGAGGACCAGAGTTCAAGAAACAATGAAAGGAAAATGCAAAATACAAGTCAAAAAAAAAAAAAGAAAGCCCATTTTCCAAATATAAATCTTCAAAGTGTGTATACATTTCTCAGCGTGCTGGAAATGCTGTCATGTTCCCCGACTAGCCACAGTTAACCATTTGTCTTGCTGCAACTCCATCACAGCAGCTACCTCTTATACTTAAAAGCCCCGCTGACCAGAAAAAAGGTAGAGAAACCAGTCTGAACTTGCTGCAGTATTGTTACCCTCCCCTCACAAGTACAGGTTTGGAGGATGATGTGAAGTGAGAGGTTAGAGAGAAAAAGAGAAGTCAGAGTCCCCCGCGGGGTCTGTGTGATGAAGACAAACAGCTGACAGACTCGACCGCATCAGCTGGATTTCCTCGTATTCTCTCGTGTTCGTTCTCCTCCTCTTTACATGTTTGTTTTGGAGCTTGGTTGCTGAGGCTGCAACATTGTTAAATTACATCACTTGCTGCAGTCGCGCGCAAGCAAGATAATGATTATACTTTGTTGATTGTATCATAATGTTTTTTGGGTTTTTTTTATATTCAGTGTGTTCTATTGAGATGAAACAGTCCTAAGTGGATCTCAGGCAGCACTCAAATTCTCCTATTAAACGCTGACACAGTTAGTGTTGAAATGGAGTTTTATTTGCGGCAATTAAAGTAAGTGTTTAACCCTCTGAAACCCCAAGCACTGATTTTATTGATGTAGAATTGCTGTGTCATTTTTAAACTGCTTTTAGCAACCATCCGAGTCCATTGATTATCGGCCGCTGATATTTCAATAATATCAAAATTTGTATCTTGTAAATGATTTTCATGAAGCAGTGTGACTCATACAAAGTTTGACTAGTTGATGTTGTGGCTGAGATCCATAGTATTATGCATTTCTGTACAATGTTTTGCTCCTCTTAAGTATGTTAATGCAGAGGAAATTATGGGGCACACCTTTAAGTGTAATGCATTCAAGTACCATCACCCACGATGACTTTAGTAATACATAAAACACAAAGAATCACTACCGTTATGAAGTCAACAAAAGCTAAACAAGTACTTAAAAAAAAAAAAACATTATAAAGCTTTGTAGGGCTACACATCTTTATAATAAAGAAAAATGCTCCAGGTCAAGTAGCAGTAATAGGAAAAGTGTTGAAATCCAACAGAGAGAGCTGGAGGGCAGCTGGAAGAAAGCCATGCTGTTTGAACTTCTTCTGTGGTGTGTCTTACAGTATTAATATTTTCCCAGCCCCCCCGCGACCCTAATGAGGATTAAGCGGTGTATAGCTAATGGATGGATGGAAGTGTTGCAGTGATGAATTTCAGAGTCAGAGGTGTTGGGATGTGTACTGTTTGTCTGCATTCATTCAAGCATATTTGCTACCAGACAGTTTCAAATAAATCAATGTCTAGATATTAATGTTTTTTTTCTTTGTCTTCCTCCAGGCTGGTGGATCGCAGGTGATCTTCACCAACCCTCTGGAGATAGTAAAGATCCGTCTGCAGGTGGCAGGAGAGATCACCACGGGGCCGAGGGTCAGCGCCCTGTCCGTCATCAAGGACCTCGGCTTCTTCGGGCTTTACAAGGTGGGAAACACTGTTAGGGTCAGAGGCGCATGTGTAGATGGCTGGACACAGTGCAACTAAAGGCTCATGAATAAGTAATGTAAGATGCTCTTTGTGTCTGATGTGGAACTATTGTACTCCTTTTTTTATGTCTGCTGGCTGTCTGACCTTGTCTCTTAGCAACACATTCCTTCATATGCGCAAGAAATGAGTGTTAAAATTATGAATTTTACAACTTGTGACAGTTGTCCATTGAGAGATATCTCAGTGTCTCACACTGGTATCTAATGAGAAGTGCATCAGGGATTTGTTTGCACGAAGCAGCACAAGTGGCATAATCCTACAGAACAAAATCCATTTTTTAACATGATTCTTCGTCCTCTCTGGTAATTTACGATCTGTTTGACATGTTTTCTTGAAGTCACCATGGAATCGGAGAGCAGAATGACTCAATTCACCCCAGAAAAAATGAAAACGTTCTTCTCTCATGACCGCCGTAACTTTCAGGTCGCATCAGTGTCAAAATCCATTGGACACGCATTGGAAACGACACTGCTCTCTTGATACTGTTGTCTGTTCTACTATGTAAAATCTGCTGGTAGCTTATATGAGGATTTTTAAACTAAAGCTATGACAACATAACAGCCTCCTGCTTTTATGTATGTAGCATGCAGTGTAATGATTGACAGAAGACTTGCAAAGCTGACAAAACTGTATTCAGGATTTAAATTTTAGCTTATTTAAATTAAGGGCACACTCTTGGCAGAAACCCAGCACCATAATGCCAAATTCGATTTTGATTTGTTGCCATTAGATTAGCTAACAAGTGGCCGTATCCATGCTTTTGTATTCTCACTTGCCTCACAACTTCATGAAAATCTGTTATTTCCCACTACTGTTATGACTAAGCCATATGTGATTTTTCTATTAACTGTTGTACAATTATACATATTACCTTACTCTACATCAGCTATCATTTAAATCAACAATTCCATGTGGTCTGCTTGAGAATGAGAAAAGGCACAATTTATGCTAAAAGCTGTATTTAACCTTAATTGCCATAATTGGTATTTTTCATTGGCACAGGGCTAAAAATTACAGTGCACTGTTTGAACATATTAGGTTTGTGTGATATTGTGTGGCCAGCACATTGTAAAGCAAGCGTGAAAGATTACAGTCATATTGGGAGCTAATATAGCAGTATTGTTGCGCATTAAAGAGTATGTTCTGTTCCTTAAACATTGGTCTGTGTAAGTGAAGGAGCTGACATTAGCAGCTTAACTGGCCTGACAAGGTCATTAGCCCTCAGGGTGAAATGGAGCATGTTTAATTGAATTACATAAATAAGTCCCAGTGGAGCTTGGCAGGAGAGATTCTGCCTCAACTGTAAACACAATCAACTGTGAAAATGTCAATCTAATACCTGCGGTTATATTAATTAGTCTTGTTTTACATCTTGTTTAAGGTGATTGAAGTTTTTTTTTGTGTGTGTGGCTGAATGTTTGTTGTCATCTTTCCATTTAGCAAACTATTTTTCAGAGACGATAGAGCGCTTGTAAGCCATCCAGTGGCCACATGTGATTGGAGTTTACTTCCCCCTCTTAATGCAAATGACCACATACATCATTTATGTTTTCAAAAACCAAATACACTGTTGTTTTTTATTGGCAGTGGGCAGCAATGCAATTCCCGTGCCTAGTTGGATGAAAATTAAAAGAAAAAGAAATCCCTGTTTTACCTGTTGTTGTTCCCAGTTATCACACTTTCTTATGACACATTATCACTTACACAGATCAGAGGTCTCTTATTGAGGACATCTTCACGTTCACAGTGCTAAAAGAGCGCAACCATATGCGGCCCAAACCATCTCCCAATCTGGTCTGAGCAATCAGATCTCACACCTGTACTTGGAGCTGTTCACTTGTTATCGGATGCCCCTACTTGCAGGTAGGGGCAGGTGTTAAGGAGGCCCAGTTTTCTCCGGTTTATCTGCGTGTCCCTTGGTCTGCCGATGTGACCACCTGTCAGCACAGACAACTCGCATGTGAAGCCTTTCGGTTCACTTAACAAGACTGTAAAAGAATGTTGAGCCTCCTCTTGTCTCGGCCTACCTGCCGACCTGTTGCTGTGTTTGCGTGCTCTCTCCTAGTAATTTACGACTGCACCAGGGTGTACGTCCACATAACTACAGTCTCCATTCACCTGTCTGCGAAAATACCGCTGAACACTACGTTACCAGTGTTGCGTGGATGTGAATGTGTTCATGCTCGTGCACATACTTAATTCCATTCGTCTCCTGGTGCATAGAGAGGAGACAAAGTGCATTGAGAAAGCAGTAGCGGTGGTGGTGGTGGTGGTGGAGGCGGGGAGGTGGGGAGGAGACGAGCTCCAGCCTGCAAGCCCCAGACGGGCTGGCTCCGGAGGGGCTGCACCCAGGCACAGAGCTGCCTTTGTCAGGGTAATTATCCTGACGCTCACCCTCCGCTGGTGGAGCTACCGGTTGGTAGGGTGGCTAACGCTCTAGCGCCACCTTTCATCAGTGGGGGAAAGCTGTCACTGTAGGGACCCACATGGTGTTTCATGTTTATGAAATCACTGCATGTACGCTAATTCGCTCAACATCGCAGATTTAAATTTGTCTATGTATGGATTTATGGAGATATATACACGTGTGCTGCCCAACGCTCTGCCGGTACGATACCCAACTCAACGCCATTGCCCTGATATTAAAGCTTCCAGTCCCAGTCCCTGTGACGCTTCTTGTCTGTTCTGCCTCGATAGAATCTCTAAGCTTTCAGCAGCCGCTCGGGCCCCAGCCAGGAGGGACAGGCAGACAAGAAGTGCCAGAGGAAAGAGAGGGAAAAAGATAGCCCAGGTATCTGCCAATCCTCTGTGTATGTGTGTGCGTTTGTGAGTCTGTGTGTGTGTGTGTGTGTGTGTGTGTGAAGGAACCAAAGGATTATCCCAAAGGAGTTAAATGAAGCCTGTCCAAAACAGGGAGACTCTGCCCAGCTCTTTAAACGCCTTCTGTTGACTGTAGTTGCTGTGTCAAAAAGGTGGCAGGGGGCCAACAGGTTTGAAATACAGCAGGAAACTCTATAGGCTTGATGATATAGTGTTGTTTACAGTGGCAGACGAGAAGCCATCTTCGTCAGCCAGTCTGTCTTTCTCTGCTTTTCCTTCTTCTTTTTTTTTTGTTGATAACTCTGCTGTTGGAGCCGCCCCCCCTCTCACCTGCTGCTGAGGACACAGACTGTCCGCATATGGAGAGACGTGATTTATCTGTCATGTTGTGGTCAATATTTCACTTTGCCTTAAGAGATCCAGGAGTCTTTTGGAAGTAGTTTTATTGGCGGTGACATCAGTTGATGCTTGAATAGAGAGTTTCATTTTGTGGCTAGAAGTAACAATCTGTCTTCGCAGACTCCAGCCAGAAATCAAGGTTTGAATCCCCTGAGCCCCATCGCTCTTTCCTTGCTCCCCTTTTTGTTTATACTGCTCTTTGTTTTCTCTTTCTGAACGCTCAACTTTTAACCCAGTTTTACGACCTACAGCGTCTCTATTGCCTCTGACTGTCTTTCCAGGGCTCCAAGGCTTGTTTTCTGCGGGACATCCCCTTCTCAGCTATCTACTTCCCTTGCTACGCCCACACCAAGGCTTACCTCAGCGATGAGGACGGAAGGATAGGGCCAGCCAAGATGCTGTTTGCTGGAGCTCTGGCAGGTAAAGTACTTCCATCCCAGCCTTTATACTTCAACATAAAAGCAATCATGGATGAGCGTCAGGACTGGAGGCAAAAAGTGGTTTCCAGAGAACATGAGCAAACTGAACAGTTTTTGCAAGAACTGTAGCTGCAAGATCCTCAAATAAAAATCCAAAGCACTTGTTTGCGCTGTCTGAACACACTGTATATGTACATAAGAATAATGAAATGAGGAATTTGAAATTTGCCTGCTTATTTGCTCTGTAAATAGAGCCAATAAGCATTTCTTGTTTTAGTGCTCTGAATGAGTCATATGTTTCTTTGGAGCTGCTGATTCCAAAAAGCTCAGTAGACATTCCTTCCACGTCTGAGCATCAAGGGATGAGCTGTGAACATACAGAATGCCGCTATGAGCTTTAAAGCAAGGCCTCTCCAGTTCATGTGTGCGGCATTAAAGGTGGAGTGTGCGTTTCTAATCCAGTACACCTTCTGTCAAATTCAGAGAATATCACTTCAAGGTCTATGAGTCGTCTGTATAATCTGGTGTTTGTCCGCAAAGTGACTCAGCCCAATCCACACAGCATTGTTCTAGCATGTTTAAGCTCTTATACAGGACAGGGGGAAAGCAATTGGCAGCAATAATGTAAATGTAGCACAACCTATCTGTGCTTACTAGCTGACTACTAACTAATCCTAACCCTTTAACCCTTTCTTGAAGAACTGCAGAATCCACCTTTAAATTAAAAAAAACATTTTTGTACAGGGCAGATGAAGACATCTATGCTCATTGTTTTGGCCCTGACCTACAGTTTTTACACATGCAGCAGATGCAGAGCAACGTTACCGTTCTCTGGGGTTCAATCTCTCCTTGTAGCTTTGTTTTTGGTCGCTACCAACGGCTAACCCAGAGGAAAATGTTACTGCCCAACGTTTGCTCTTCTGTAGCTACAACATTGTGACTCAGCCTTATTTTAGTTTCAATTTCATCTGATATGTTTCTTCTACTACAATTCAGTAGGAGAAATAAGTGGGACAGGAGGAGGACAACTGGCAATAGGAGTCGTACTCGAGACTTAAAGGAGATACAAGGAGGAAAAAAAGGAGATCAGACTGAGACGATCGAAATTTCGATTCAGATTTCAGAATCAAAACAGAAAAGAATCGAAATAGAAAAGCAAGGTTTTCGCAGTAAGATTTTCCTCTGGGATCTTTTGTTTGTCTGCTCTTTGGTCCTGGTTATGTGTTTGTTTGTGTACACTGGGTTTTTAGAACTTTTGTGCTGACAACATCTGCCTGCTGTTGCTAAAACAACAATGATTAGCACAATGAAAGTAAACAGTTTCAGTTTAGAAAATCCAAATGAGCTGAAAGGCCCCTAAACACTTTGTGTAGCTGAAAGGAACTGCAGAGTGGGTTTATTTGTGTTTGTGGGGTCTTTGCTATGAGCGACCACTTTTACATGCAGGTCCTGCAATTCATTGTTTCCTATAAATACTGACTTACAAATGCTCTAAGTAGACTTACACGGTGGGATCACCTCTTATTAGACTTTGCAAAAACCTTTAAACCACATCACTAAAATCTCTTCGCAACTTTTCATCACTAAAAACTTTTGCCACCAGCTCTGGTAATATGAAAATACAACTTATATGTTGTTATCTGTGCATAACTGTGTCAATTGATCTCACATTGGTAAACTAGTTTAATCTGTACAGTCCTATGTTGCACTTTAAAAGCTTTGCCTTGTAGTGTTTGTCCATAACTTGAAAAACATTGTCTTGGCTTGTAGAGTGTCTGATCATTCCAAGTGAGGCAGAAAGTCAAACAGCTCCTGATGTAACATGTAGACTTCTTGACATTTATGAAACAAAATCTTTGGTCGGGTCCCGTTTTGAACAAAGTGTGAGTGCAGGTCTCGCTCTGCTCTTGCTTCAGACCTCCACAGGCCTGCAGTAACAGTAGCAGAGCTCCGAGTTTGGAAGCCAGGCAGCCTCTGACCGCAGGCTCCATGGCGGTAGCTGCTAATTAGAGCGCTGCTCAGTGATTGGGGACTGGGGTTTGGAGCTGTGCTTGCAGGGAAGCGCCTCAGATGCCTGCCAACCAGGCCGGCAGGAAGGCTTTCCAATCCGAATACACTGTACATGCACAGACAAACATGCTTGTGCATACTTCATGCGTGTTCCCTCTGCAGGGTGAACAGTCCTGTCCTGTCTGTAGTTCAGTCACTACAGTGAACAGGCAGACCAGCAGGAGCAGAACACGCACTGATGACTTAACAACTTTATCCGCGGCATGAAAATGTGATTTATCCGAAGCAGGGTTGTAATGCTAGATTAGACTGCCAAGTTAAAAAGCTGTAGAACATTTGCATAAAAGACTTAATATTTGTTTTGAATCCTCAGAGACGTGTCAGCGGCACTCTCTTTTTGACGCAGAGGCACGGCACAACACGGAAAAATCATAAATCCTGCCTCCCTCCTCCATTTTTTACTCTGGTTTCCCACCACAAGACTGGCAGCGACGGCCCACAGGCTGAAAAGAGCCTCATGACTTCTTTATTTTTTTCATTACTTCGACACATTTATCATCCCTCCTTCACATATATTTATCAGCCACTGCAGCATTCTGGCAATTAGTGTTTTACAGTCAGCACAGGAAATTGAATTACACGCTCAGTTTGCGCAGCATTATTTAGCTAGGCATTACTTTGGTCTGTGAAGAACTTAGTGTTGGCCATCTCTAGCTCGCATTAGCTCTTCATGTGAGAAATAGCGGAGTGAGGGAATTTTTTTGGCCGAGCTGTGGGGTGTAAGGAATATCCATGTTGTTTAGTCTCGCTGTTTGTCATTATTCTGACAACTACTGGCCAGATCGCCATGAAACGCAGCAGGAATACGAATGGCTTCCAGACAGTATTTCTGATGTTTTGGACGAATCTTTTAGGTTGACTTCAGCACGAGTGTCAGGTCAACAGGGCACTTTGTAAACGACAATCAAACTACTGTTTTTGTTTTAGTCATGTAAATAGTCAGTTTATAGATTAGTCAGTTGGCTGCTGCTGGTTTCAAGCTACTTTACACTCAGTGGTGGTGATGCAGCAGCAAACAGAAGAATGGCAAAGATGCTGGAGACCTTAACCTATTGAGGTTAAACGGACAATGAATGATTTAAAATACAGTCGTGACTCGATAATCCGACACTAAATGTAAAACCTTCTGTTATGTTGGATAGCAAGGCTGTCGGATTGTCAAGACGGAGGTCGAGATACATGGAGGGCCAGAACACACAGGCAGTTCTTGGCTGCTGATGCTAGTTTAGGTTAGTGTTTACTTCTGCAAACACTGAGCATGCTCACTGCGTGTGACGTCCTCATGTCCTCTTCTGTGCATGTGGGGCACTTTTGGGCCGTATGAAGTTCACACAGCAGATCACATACAAGTCACATTGAATTGGAAATATGAACGAACTCGCAGAAAAATCGGATTTCACAAAAAAAAAAATCTGAATTGAGCATTAAGTCCTGCAGTCTGAACGTAGCCAATCTGTCGGATTTTTCAGTCAGATAATACGCCGTTATCCTGATTGGTGACATAAAATGTCCTGTTGTAGTATGTTAAGGCTATTTTCTATGGGTTCTGTTCATTTTTCCTGTCGGATAGCAAGGTTTTCAGATTGTTAAAGGTCGGATTATGGAGTCACGACCGTACTTGCTGAAGGAAACGCTTTTAGCACGTTGAGTTTTTTTGTAATCACAAAGCTATTTGGTGATAAATGCTGATTGGAAAAAACCTCCTAATATGACTAAATACAACATTAAAGCCACCTGCCAAATATTCTGAAGATCTCCTATATGCTGCCAGTCAGCTCTGACCCCGCTAGGACTGGACCATACAGACTTCTGAAGGTGTCCTGTTAAAACGTGAGCTGCACATCCATTCATTTGGCATTATGGCCTTTTTTTCCCAGCACATCCTGCAAATGCTTCATCGAATTGAGATCTGTAGAATTTGGAGGCCAAGTCAACACCTTGAGCTCTTGGTCATGTTCCTCCAACCACTCCTCAGTAATATGTGCAGTGTGACAGGAAGCATTATCCTGCTGATGGAAGCCACTGGCATCAAGGATACTGTTGTCATGACGGGGTGTGATTCAGGCCGGTAGGTTTTAGGTGTCAAAGTAACATCCACGCAGTTCCACGAACCGTCAAAGTTCTGCCCTCATCAAAGTTGTTCAGATCTTCACACTGCCCATTTTTCCTGCTTGTAACTTCAAGAACCGACTGTTCACTTGCTACCTGAAATCCCCCACCTTTCAACAGGTGGCATTGTAACAAGATGATCCGTGTTGTTCTCTTCACCTAGCAGTGGTTTTAATCTTGTGGCTGATCTGTTTGGACATCTGAAGACACTTTGACCTCTGTGAAACACTTTTTTTTGGACATCCTGACATTTAGGTCTGTTCTTTCTACGCAACATCTGAGTGGGCCATCAAGTTCCTTCCTTTGTTTCCCTAATAAATGGTTTCTGCGCAAAGTTCTTATTTTCCTGAATCAAGGGGCTCAGAGGGTGTCGGATGGATAATAGTTTTTAGCAAATGTGGGATTTTGGCTGTACAAGTCAAATTGACATTGTATTTAGTGAAAATCAGTTAAGAAGAAGAATTAACCTTCTGATTAATATGAAAAAAAAAGAAAGTTCCAGACCTATAGACTTTGCAAATTGGCCTTCATACACTTTAAAGGGCGACACTGCATCAATTATTTTGTTTCATCTTGAACATAATGAACCACTATCCAAATCTTGACTATATATCCAAACCTCCTCTCCTCTCCTCTCGTTTCCTCTCCTCTCGTTTCCTCTCCCCTCAGTTCAGTGCAGGTGGTCAGTCTCCGCCGGGTGCCAGTCTGCTACCTAATGCTGAGTTGATCAGGCTTGCTGAATAGCTCGTTTGGCCGTTACAAAAACCAAGAAGTCAGAGTAAATCGTCAAGTGGGCAGTTGATGGTAATGACCGAGCCATCAATGATTGGGCCCATTCATGGCTGAAGTGGCTGTAGTGGGGGACTTGCAGTCACTCCCTTCAGTCAGCCAGTCACTCTCACCGGCACACGGGGCACAGTGTGCATTGCTCTCATTACCGTCCATTGTCTGGCCCCTTTCAAACAGCTCTAAGAAAAGTGGGAGAGAGAGGAAAGGAAGAAAAAAGGTAGAGATTAAATAATGGCCTGGATTGGTGAAGTGATAGGAACTGGCCCCTACTTGTGTATAGTGTATGTACGCGGCAGCAGACTTAGTGCAAGATGGTCAAGATCCAAGATGACGTGTTTTTTTTAAAGTGGGAACAAAGAGCGCCAAGACCACTCTATCCGATGCAGATCGCTGATGGCTGCTTTTCCGCAAATCATCTCATTTGTTTGGGGCTGATTTTAAGTTTGTGCTCTATTTCCAACCAAACACGTCGGACTGTTTAAAAAAAAAAAAGCATCAGACCACTGAACGGCTCTTGCATTCTTCCCACAGGCATGCCAGCGGCCTCTCTGGTGACCCCAGCGGACGTGATCAAGACCAGGCTACAGGTGGCGGCGCGTGCAGGCCAGACCACCTACAGCGGCCTGGTGGACTGCTTCTGGAAGATTCTCAGAGAAGAGGGGCCCCGCGCTTTTTGGAAAGGAGCTGGAGGTACACTGACGTCATCCAATTTATATTCATACAAAGACGAGGTGCAGCGGCTGTAATGTCGACACCCACACACTTTTTTTCCACCCTTTTACTCTCAAGGTGCCAAAAATCTAAATGACACAAACTTTACATAAGTGTTGATTTGCTTGTTTCCCTCAATTATCAGTATATCCTCATAATAAGAATCTTTCCTTTTTTTTTTTTTTTCAGTGTTTTACTTCTCAGGTAGTTCAGTAAATCACTGGAGATGAATATGCAGCCTGAAAAAATGGCTGCAGACATTCATCGGGGCTTAAAAACTGTTTCTGCATCTATTCTTTATGTCTTTCCAGTCAAAAAACATTGAAGTAGTTTTATTTCAAGTTACTTTGCTCTCCTAGAAGACACAAGAAAGAAGCAGCCAGCGCTGTGCATGATGTGAAGTTGTACAGAAGACTGATGAAATAGATTTGTATGTTACACTGGATGGTGTATCAGTGTGGCAGAAGAAAAGCAGATCTGTTATATGTCTTCTTTTCGAACACGAGTCACATTTTCTCTTTTGTTTATTTTAAATAAGAAATCCTCAATAGTTGGCTTAGTAAGATAAAAATGGATTTTGTAAATATGGATGAAGTCTGAGCTGATTCTTCAATTTTCCAGTTACTTGGAGAAAGTAAAGAAAAACAAGGCTCTTTGTCAGGATAAACCTCAGGCTTCTGGTATGTTTATTCTGCTGCAATATTCGCTGCAGAGTTTTACTAAAGAAATTTCACATAACTGCTATTTGAAATATAACGTACCTGCAGGATGTTGTAACTGATTTTAAATGTGCTTTTGTGTAGACGATAAATGTGATAAATAGTTTGTGACCTCCTATGGGATGGGCCAAATATTTGAGATGGCATCACAGAGTAATATTGTCGAGGTGTTTATGGAAAACATAATAACCAGTTTAATAATTCCTTATATTGGTTTACACTAGGGATGCATGATATATCAGCGACCACATCGATATCGGCTGATGTTTTTTTTCTCCATAAATCGGTATTGGTCTGATGAACAAATTTAGCCGATGTGAAAAACCAATGATTGTCTAACATTAGCGCCTTCGTCTCTACGTTTGCTGCTATTTCACAGATGTTTTACTTCAATGGTCCTGGACTTGAACGTTAAATATGTTAAAATATATTTAAATATGTTTTATTTTTGTTATGTAATAAAGACGACTATGTGGTCTAATTTGGGCTTCTTCTGAATAGTTTTCACGTTCTCATAGTGCTTACTTATATTCATTTTTCAGTGTGAACAAAAATTCAATCGGTAATATTGGTTATCGGCGATATGGGAAATCTTAATATCGTAAATTTTAATATCGTGCATCACTAGTTTACACCCATCTAACATTAAAACCACCTGCCTAATATTGTGAAGGTGACAGCTCTGACGTATCAAGGCATAGACTCCACATTGATCCTGTGCTATCAGGCACATAGACGTGAGCAGCAGATTCATTAAGCTCTGCAAAGTGGATCTTTATTCCAGCAGGTGCTCCATTAGATCGAGATCAAGTCAACACCTCGACCTCTTTGTTGTGATCTGCTGAAATCAAACCACTGCCATCAGGGAATACTGTTGCCATGAAGCTTTTCTGTGGAACCCGACCATCCTTGGCTCCCCACATTCTCCTCCTTTGGCCACTTTTGCTCGTTACTAACCTCTGCCCATCAGACCTGCTGTTTTGGAGATGCTCTGACACTTGACATCACAGTGTTGCCCTTGCAAGAGCCAGTGCCACTGTATCAGGATAATCAGTGTTCTTCACTTCACCTCTCAGTGGTTTTAATGTCGCAGCAGATTTGGTGTACATTTGCAGCCTTTGTTTCATTGGCTTTGTTTGTTGTTGTTGAGGAAGCTCAGACTACGCCGTGTCCTCTTTCCTTCTGAAACCAAACCCTGATCAGTAGATTAGCGCTCATAGAAATTCCTATGATCTGATGTGTTCCAGCTCGAGTGTTTCGGTCCTCGCCTCAGTTCGGAGTGACCCTGGTGACCTACGAACTCCTGCAGCGCTGGTTCTACATCGACTTTGGAGGACAGTAAGTATCTCTTCACAGTTTCAACCTCACTAAAAAGAATTTTCTTCTGGCCTGCTTTTTGTTTTTTTGTTTTTTTTAGTTTCAGCTTGTTCATCCCTCTTATCAAAGACCTCATCCCTGAACAATAGGCATAATTTCATCATACAGTAGTGTTCTGCGAGTCCTACCTCCTCTACCGGAGAGAAGGAAATGCCACACGACCAAAAATAAATTCCATGCACATTAACTGACAGACTGAAACCCTTTACTCAGAACTCTGGATGTGACAATTTTCACGAACTCGAGAGTTTCATCGCACCGTGATCAGGGCAGACAGCACCCATTTGACTTGTACATGTACTTTCCCCACTTTTGGGATTGAAACAAGCTCATTTTCCTCCTCAAAATAGGTCACTGTCAGGAATAATTCACTCCCTTTCTGAAGCTAAAAAAGGTCCAGTGGGGGGGAATAGAGTTGGTCGGACAGCTCAGAGTGTTGCACATGCATGTATCCATCGGACTACTTCTACATGTAGCACCCTCTCTGCCGAAGACTCGCAGCGACGCAAAATGAACTGCAGACCCGGTGAATATTCAGTGCGGTTTGGAGCGAGCTGATCTGTGCTCCTTTTGCTGTCTGTGTTGGCAGCGAATCACAAAGCTCAGCGTGAAACCTTAGAGGGATTTGATTTAGTTCGCCTCTCAGGGAGAAACGTTGAACTGTTCCACTTTTGATTTTCTATTACAATGTTTATTTCTGCGGTTTGATACGATAATATTAATTTAAGATTCGGTGATGGCGATAATAAAACTCCTGCCTGTTTCACAGTTTGCACCGTGTTGACGTTGTTCGACGGTTTCCACCTTTTTCTATTGCCTTTCACCTCCCTCTTGCTTCCTCCTCCGTCTCTTCTCTTCTCTTCTCTTCTCTCTTCTCTCTCTCCGCACACCACAGAAAGCCGGCTGGCTCGGAGCCCACCCCCAAGTCTCGGATCAGCCTGCCGGCGCCCAACCCCGACCACATCGGAGGCTTCAGGTTGGCCGTGGCCACATTCGCTGGCATCGAGAGCAAGTTTGGACTCCATCTCCCACGCTACACGGTGGCGACGGCCTCCTCCAATGCGCCGTGAGCCTCCGTGAGCGGGGGGTAAGTCAAAGAGAGAGGGTGGTTTAAGTGTTTTCCGTGTATAAAAGCACTGAGAGACGTCCACTAGTCCATTCTGTTTGTATAGCACTTGAAGTTATTTATTTAAATTTACGACTTTCTCTCTTCTATTTATTAGAGTCTATATATATACTTTGGAGGACTCCTGCAGTTTTTGTCTTACATGTGACTGATAGAGTTGTATTCTATTAGTTTTGTTTTTCATACAATATATACACAAAGGCAGCAGAAGGGCTTGTAGAAACACACTTTTTTTTTTTTTTTTGGGGGGGAAAAAAGTACAATTAATGACGACTTACTGTTGCAGCTTGTACCAGTGTCTTCCATTTGTTGCTTCATAATCGAAAGCACATTATTCATACGATCACATAGCTGGCTAACTAAAGACTGATCACGAATGTATCATAAATCCAGAGACGTATTTTCATATCTACACGGCTGTTTCCTGTATCCGGAGCCGCTCCTTCCATGTCGATTTGATCAAATGTATCCGCAAGAATACGACCAAAAAGTACTTGAATGTAAAGAAACGCTGTACCGTTCTGATTGTACATAATGTTTACCGTTGTAACATGTTTGGTTGTAGGTTTAAATGTATGCAGATGTGTAAATATCTGAGAGAGACCACCGGAATCCTGTGGTGTGTAACGTCTGAGTATTTCAATTTATACAGGACAGAGAATGTAGGAGTTACATGTGGTGTGAAATAATCGTGCCTTACTGTACGTATGGCAGCAACATGTGTACTGAGAGTAAAGAGAAACTTATATTAGTAAACTTCACGTCTGCTGCAGTTTTTATTTCCAGTTTTTTCTCTACGAGGGGGAAAACGAAAAAAAAAAAAAAAAAGCAGGCCGGCAGTTTATTGGCTACGCTTTAATAGTAAACATAGCAGGTTTAACAGCCATCACTCTGAATTACAATATACCTCTTGTTACAGTTCATTAGAGAATATACAGTTGAAGCTCTCATTCAGTAACTGAAGACAAAGTGCCCAAAACCACACTTGATTCCGACGTACCGACTCAAACACCGACATAAAGCAGCAACAACGCCCCACGTGTGATTACGTCACCATATTAACTCCATGTTTCGGGAATATTTTAGGAATGTGTCGCATGCAGGCTTGATACAGAGAAAAGAAGCACAACATAAAGTGAACGTGACTCGTTGTAAACATGACTAGTCTATGGACCCTGCTTTATTTTTACGGTAGTGCAAAGCATTGTTACAGTACACATATCTTCATAAGGCTATAAGACTGCCACTCTTTATATACCGTAGGCTCACGAGTTGCAAGAAACACATCACCTGAAGTCATTAAACGAATAAATAAGGGCGGACAAATCAGTAGGAGTCAACCGTTGACCCTTCGTAAAGGACAGTTTGCATTTACAGGAGAGCAAATGCGAAAAAACACAACAGAAGCCTCGTTTGCATCAGACAGGAACATGTAGGTAAAGGTGGGGAACTGAAATGAAACTGAGTGAGGAGCACATGCTACAGTGACACCGATAAAAGCCCGCCAGCTCTCTGATTCCCTCCGCTTTGGTTTTGGAGTCCTGTTCTATGAAGCCAGCTCCATAGGCCCCTCCTCCTCGCCGTCCGCCCGGTTGGCCCGGATCTCCATCAGGGTCCGAGCGAAGCGCGCCCAGTCGTCGGTGTGGGTCACTGACAGCTGGAGGAACCATCAGACACACACGGTGTTAGGACACATCTGGATGGTACGAAGGCACCGCAATCTGCTTGGTAACAAACTCTACAAGTGTGAACACAATAATGTGCTCAAGACAGCTTTACTAATAATACCACAGAGCATAGTAATGGAATATTAACAAGAATAATAAGGCTGGGTTCAGGTTATTTTACACAGCAGGACAATACAGGGCAGCCAGAAGCTTTGAACCTCTGTAGAACCTCCCTTGATGTTTTCAGGGGAAAATAAACTACTTACTGCAGGGCTGGTACTTCAGAGCAGCCCTAAAAAAACTGCTGTGCAAATTTAAACTCCGATTGGTTAAACTTGAAGAAGACAAATGGTTATTGGTTAAACTGGGAGAGAACAACAAGCGCCATTTTCTGCCTTCTTGATGTCCTCGTTGACAAGTAGTAGTCGTCTCTCTAACATCAGCATCAACATAAATGTGCCACATAGTCTAACGGTAGATTCAATTAGTACATTTTTATTGTTTGTGTCCCGCAAGTGGCAACAAAACACAAAACAGTTGCCTCCATGATAACTTTCTGAAGCTGCAAAATCCTGCTGCTTAGTACAACAAACCCACGTTCAGTGTTTTCATATGAGAATGCTTCAGATTCACAGATTTCTTATGTTGTTTTTACACAAGGATGATCGTGATCTGAATGTTCAGTAGGCGATAAACTCCTCCTTTACCCCCAGGCCGAAGCAGTGAGTGTATGACAGCTGGAAACGGTAAAACTCCGTCGTGAGCAAACACATTGCTTGGAAACAACTCACTGTAATCAAAAAAGTGAATTTGTATTTAAATCACAGTTTGATCATCTGCTCAGCTGATCACTTCCTGTTTGTGATACTACAGTGTTCAAACTACCGACACACAGGAAATCCTCATCACCCAACTTTAAGCTTGAAAAACTTAGAGATAATCTTTGTAGTGGATTTCTTTTCATGCACCATCCCTGTGTGGTGTGTGTACATTTTGTGGGGACCAGGACAGCCATGTTTATATGTCACCGATTTCACCAGGAACTATGGGTAAGTTAGAGTCGCATATTAAAAAGTCATCATGCTCGTGACAGCTGGGCGTGAGATTCTACAGCAGCTGGTTTTGAACAGCATGCAGACATGATCACAATGACGAAGCTAACACACACACTGATGTTCAGCAGGTATAATGATGGTCACCGTAGCGTGCTAACGTTTACCACTTAACAGAAAGTAGAGCTTTCTGTGGAGAATGTTTTTAGTTTTGCTGATTTTTGGTGATAAATTTTGATAATGGCGCTAAATGAAAAGCCAGAGATCACCGCGGTGATTGTAATTCATCCTGTGGAGCACACATGAATGTGTCCGCTGAATTTATTGGCAATAGTTAATTCATTAAAAACGAAAAACAACAACCTCACAGTGACACTAAAGGAAAAGTCAGAGGATCACAGAACTCGTTAGATGTCATCATCTGAGGGGCCGTGACTCCTTAACATAATCCCACGCCAATCCATCAAACAGTCATTGAGTCATTTCAGTCTGGATCAAAGTGGTCAATCAACAGTTCTATATAAGATTCCCTGGAGCCCCGCTGTTAGCTTCAAATCCACATTAACTACGGAGACCGTGAGACTAATACAGGATGTCAGAGTGAATGTTGTTCCTCTGACTACAGTCGTGCACAGTGGGAGTCGGAGTGAGTGGCCGCCACCCAAGATGTCTGCAACCCTGCAACCGCTTCTCCTGGCCAGGCTGTAATTAATCAGGAACCAGGAAGAGGGAGGCAGCCATTTTGAACCGCCCACCTCCTCCCTCCACCCCCCGCAGAGCCGAGCTGGCCACAGCGGGGGCAGAGCATCGGCTGTGTGGAGTGACTTCGGCATTAGCAGCATTTTAAAAACACTACAAGAGGTTTCGCTAAAGAAACTCTGCGGGATGATGTCAGGCTTTAAAAACGAAGCAGGTCCTCAACATTGTTGATGTCACGGAGCAGTTTTAAGTCCACTGTCACTGATGTGAGTCTGCTCTGGTGACTTTCTATACAGAGTAACGCCAGCAGAGCTCTAATATATACAGTCCTGATCCCTGATGGTTAATTCTCGCAAACTAATTGGTGCGAAGTAAAATAAACCTGAAATATAAAGTATTATATTTCCTGGAGAAGTTGTAGTTCCAGTCCTGCACTTATCTAGTTAAAAAAAAAAAAATCCACAAGCTGTTCCTAGTTTTAGCTATATGGTGGAGTTTGTAGTGAAGTAAATACCCCCATAACCACCACTACACACACACACACACACACACACACACACACACACACACAGCTCGCTAGAGTCATAAAACCTTTCAACCCGCTCACTTTTATTGATGACTCCGTTACCATCAACCCAGCGTGGAGGCCACCAGCTCAGCTCTCCAGCTCACCACACAACAAAAAGATGCTAAAATTAGCCGAGCGGCTAGGCTAACGCGCGCTCACATGGGGACGCTAACCAGAGCCCTCCGAACATGAGAGAACATACTGGGTGGTGACGGCAAAGTCACATGGAGGCCATTTAACAGGGGCACGAAAGAGAAGAAGAAGAGGAAAAAAAAAAATCAAACATACAAGCCACGGCGATGCTGACAGATGAGTAAACACACACAACTGGAAGAGCTAAAATTGTGTTTCATGTCGAGGTTTTAGGACTTACAGTACATGTCTTTCAACCAAATGAGTGAACCAAATATACATAAAACACAACAAAAACCACAGTATGTACTCTGGAGAACGAGAAAGTCACAATTACACACATAATTATTATTATTTCCACCACATGACAGTTTATTTTTGTAAAATTAAGAGAGACGGCGGTATTACTGATGAGCTGACACCGATGCTCCATTTTCCAATTTCAAGCACTAAAATCTCTCACTCTACTCTAGTACAACTTAATTGCAACAGTGCAATAAATTTTGGTCATTGTAGTTCACTCATGCTTTTGGCACCTGGGGTGTAATTAAATCTTGATTGTTTGAAAACTAAACCCACGAGAACCACCGGCTTCATGCATCACGGCACTCAAAGTGAATCCAACAACAATGTACTCAGCAGATTATTTTTTAACCAGAGCAGGCTGCCAAAATATTAACATCACATGTGGAACACCGGAGTGCAACGCTGTGTAAAATGTCACCGGTATTATTCTGTAATCATTAGCCAACACCTGAAAGCAAAGAGCGGCCACTGTGCACCTTGTTGTTTTTTGACTTATATTCTGTACCTCTCCCGTGTCGTAGATCCAGACCCGGCCCTCTGAGTCTCCCACAGCTACTTCCTTCCCCCCCGACGACCAGCGCACCCTGTTGAGGGCTGAAGCTCCCTCAATGGTCACGCTGGCAGTTGGTACCTGGTGGGCAAACAAACAAACAAACTTATAGTATTAACACTTTATAAACTTCTCACAAACACATCATATTACATTCATGCAAATAAGACGTTTAGATGGGAAATGGGATGAATAATATGCAACATATGGAGATAACCGGGGCGGCACGGTGGAGCACCGTCGCTTCACAGCTAGATGGTCCCGGGTTTGATTCTCAGCCCGGGATCTTTCTGGGAAGAGATTGCATGTTCTCCCCGTGCAGCGTGGGTTCTCACAGGGTTCTCCAGCTTCCTCCCACACAGTCCAAAAACATGCTGAGGTTAATTCTAAATTGTCCGTCGGTGTGAATGTGAGTGAGCTTGGTTGTCCCCTGCCTTCGCCCTGAGTCAGCTGGGATAGACTCCAGCCCCCCGTGACCCTAGTGAGGATTAAGCTGTGTATAGATCATGGATGGATATTGAGATAACCTACAAGTTCTAGCAACGTTTTAAAGAAATTCTAACGTTCAAATAAAGTTGCTATATGGTTCAAAGTTACCTAAGACATAACATTTTAACTACAACATTCAGAGGTTGTTGTAAGGATGCTGTCAGGGCCACAGACTATGTTGCAGGATAACAAATAAGAACGTTCTTAAACAAAAAGTGTTTTTTGGTTGCTTTTGAGGCCACAGCTGTCAGAATGTTTTTTTTAAATGTGGTATATTAACCCCTCTGCATGCCCAAAACCCACCAGGTTTGAGAAGTATGTTGTCTGTAAAATAAATAAATAAATAAATAAAAAATTACTGAAATTTATCAGAACCAGAAACAGAAAGAATTGGCAGATATTCATTGTCCCAATGGTCCTCGAAGGGCTCATTGGTTAAGACTAGTTGGGAACCTTAACAAAATCTGAGCTTAAAAA